TCCAAAGCCTTCGATTGTGTTCACCATGAAACATTAATCAGGAAACTTCAACACTACGGTGTAAGAAATGATGCTCTTAAATTAATTATTTCATATTTAAGTGACAGAACACAAAAAGTTGTTATTAATAGTATGAGTTCTTCCGGGTCGATTGTACAAATGGGCGTGCCTCAGGGCTCAATTCTCGGCCCCTTTCTGTTTCTTGTATATATTAATGACTTACCTTACATAGCAGGGGATAACCATGATATAGTATTATTTGCTGATGATACTTCATTAATTTTTAAATTAATACGACAGTTATTAAATTACGACGAAGTAAATAATGCTATAGCTAAGTTAGTCAATTGGTTTAATGTTAATAATTTGCATTTGAATGGAACTAAAACTAAATGTATGAAATTCGTAACTCCTAATGTTAAACATGTCAATACTAATGTAATTTTAAATGGGGAGGAACTGAGTCTTGTTGATACTACCATTTTTCTTGGAATCACACTGGACGCAAAGCTTCAATGGCTCCCCCATATATCAAAACTAGCTAGCAGACTTAGTTCTGCAGCATATGCTGTAAAAAAGATTAGAACTCTTACCAGTGTTGAAACAGCTAGAATAGTTTACTTTAGTTATTTCCATAGCATTATGTCGTATGGTATTTTGCTATGGGGATACGCGACTGACACTGAAATTATATTTATTTTACAGAAGAGGGTCATTAGAGCAATATATAATTTAAAACTAAAAGAGTCACTGAGACAAAAATTTAAGGAAATTAATATATTAACTCTGGCCTCTCAATACATTTATGAAAATGTAATGTACGTACACAAAAATAAAAGTAGTTTTGCGAAAATAAGTGATATTCATTCTGTAAATACTAGGAGCAGACACAAGCTGGTAGTACCAGTTACTCGACTCCACCGAGTCAGTAATTCATTCTTGGGGCAATGTATACGCTTTTACAACAAAATCCCAGAAAATATACAAAATTTGTCATACACAAAGTTCAAAAATGTTATTAAACTAAGTTTGTATAAAAAGAGGGTTATTATAATATTAAGGAATTTATAGATGATAATAACCCCTGGGAAGGGTGATCGCTACCAAGCTATTTCTAATTTGTCTTATGTTGTTGATTGTAAACATGATCGTAAGCTATTATTAAAAAAAAAATAGTCCCGCTGGGTTTCTTGCTGGTTCTTCCCAGGACAGAGGTTTTTTTTGCGAACCAGTGGTAAATTAAAAAAGTGACTTTCAATAAGTATTTTTATAATCTACATTGAATAAAAAAGTTTCTATTGCTACCTATGTCTGCCACCAAAAAGCACGTATGTTTCAGAAAGAAAGTTATAGAAAAACTGTTAATTATAGGCTCTGGGGCATTTCATCTTAGTTCTGAAACCTTTGTTTGAAGTTGGTTGCAGCCATCCAACTATCACAGGTGGACTGTAAATTCATGAAAAAGGAAGGTTGCACAACATTTAGGTAACCTAGTATACTTTTCCGGTTTCTTTCTTCGAGCTAAACTCCAATAGGTACCGGCACAAGTCAGTACCGCCTACACATAGGTCAATCAGTAACTTTCAAAGAACTCGTTAGCCGACCCTGTGTGACCTGTATTATAATCCCATATCTATTATTTTACCAACTGAACACCGTCTTTACACCTTATCCTAGTTTCATCTTTAAATAACCTTTAAAACATGGACAAATAACAGCTTATTTTTCGTATCATGATCTCATTTACATACCTTAACGTATTCGTCCACCTAAGCGCAAATCACATTTTCGATTTCTTCCTAGCTATAAGGGTATTGACTTTGAAGCCATAAGACGAGATAAAAGTAAAATGGATTGGTCTTCCGTAAAGGATTGTGATAATATTGGTGATATGGTTAACAACTTTACCACTTTAATGCTTAGATTGTATGATTGCCATGCAAAATGATTGCCAAGCAGCTAAAGTAGCTCCCGATCCGATTTCGCAGAAACACTCGTATCCTTTGTCTCCTTTTTAACATCCTACACAGGCCAAGTTTCTCTAAATACCTCCGAAATCGATTTACCTTTCTTAAATCTCCAGATGTAGTTTGTGGATCTCACCTTAAAACCCTCTTAAAATTCCCATCATTCTCCGTACATGCAGTAGGACTCTGGGATTCACTTCCTTCTCCCATTCGAGAAATCAAAACGGTGATATTGTTCAAAAAACGAGTGAAAGAACATTATTTATCGCTGTCTTGTATCTAAGTTTCCAATCTTTGTCATGTCTATATTTGTAATTATGACTTTATATTATATTAATTATTTATGTATGTATTTATGTATGTTTAAGTATGAATATATTTATATTTATATATATATATATATATATATATATATATATATATATATATATATAAGTACTTGTGCAGACGTATGTATTTAGTTTATCCCTATATGTGTTATATGTGTATAAATAATACCTTAAAATCACTTATTAATCATATATCTTTGTAACTAGCCCACTGGAAGAAATTTCATTATGAAATAAGTAAAGCACTTTTCATCATGATGTGTCCTCTCCTTCACTTATGTGTACATAAATTGTTAAGTAAATAAATAAATAAATAATTACTTTTAACTGGAAGTTTAGACCTAGATAATTAAGAAACTGGTTTTGGTGCAAGTTTCGTCTAATAAAAATACAAACTAAGACACTACACTAATGTGATTTTATAAAAAATATTAATGCATGTTTAAGCACATGGTGAGTCTTGTTTATTGTATTTGCGTTTCTTGCTAAAAATTATATATTTAAAAAAAATAAACATAACGCTATAATTTAATGTTGTTAATTGCGGGCTGAGTAAAATGTCGATTAGAATGAGTACTGGATGTATTTTTCCATACATACACAGCAAGTTTTAAATACATCGTCCAAAATCGCAAAGCTTCTTCAGTGAGGTCCTTAATTGCAGATGTCGTAGGTCAAATTCTGGTAGTTTCCCGGAGTAGAGTTCACTTTCGCGTTTCCGAAATAACTAACTCTTTGATTCCCGGCACACGCTTTTATACTCGATAAAATTAATCTAGAACTTTCATGGCCAATCCAGGTCGTTCTACTCTTACGACCGGAAAGTACCAGAATACTCGAGATTACATAACGATAACAACATCCAAAGTATAAAAACCTTTATAAGCATAGATATAAGGTTGCTTTTTGCTTGCATTAATAGTAGGATCGTTACCTATTTTTATCATCAATCCTTTAACCATCTCGAATAGTCTTACCCATCAAGCTTGCTACCTCGGCCTCTTACTCTTCTTCCTGAGAGGATTATGCATCCATACAATAGTTCCTACATCAAATCCCTTAGTGCTTGCTCTTCAATCATGACGAGCCTTCACCCACTCACGAGTCGGGTATTTTTTTCTGATAACAATTTGTCAAGACTCCCCTTTCATGTTGTGCTTTGAGCTCTTAGAGCAAGATCATCTAGGCAAATTGTCAAAAAGTGTTAATTGCTGTGACTTTTCAATTCCTTTGCTGTCCATTGTCTTCGAAATTGATACACCACCCCATCTTAATTTTAGTTAGGACTGTTGTTATTACAGGAATCTCCGACCCTGGTATCAGCGCAATGTCCCTTGAACAGTAAACTTTATCAGGGCTGAATCCTTCTAAAACCACTTCTTGATCAGGAAATTTAAATAATCCTTGACCAATGTCTACAACGCATCGCTGTTTTTTCAAGAAATCCAGTCCTAAGATGCAGTCCTCGTTGATACTGACAATCAGTAAACGGTTAAAGTACGTCGATTTCTCAATCCTAATTTCAATATACGTGTACTTTTGTATTTTAATTTTAATTAATTAATATAAAAATGAAAATAAGTTAATACTGGGAACAGACACAGGCTAGTAGTACCAGTCAGTTTCGACTCCACCGAGTCAGTAATTCATTCTTGGGGCGATGTATACACTTTTACAACAAAATCCCTGAAAATATACTAAACTTGACCCGCAAAAAGCTCAAAAACTTTATTAAACTAAGTTTGTATAAAAAGGGTTATTAAAATCTTCCTTCTATAGGCAGCCGCTCGAGAATAAGCTGGGCATCACCTCGCATTGCTAAACCTAACACCATGAATGCTTGCTCCTCACTCCAGCCACTGCTCTTCAAGAGGGTTTCAAACAGGTACTTGTAAGCCGCCCATGACGATATCTCGTCAAAACGTAGTAAATCACAATTGCCTAGTGTCGATGCCGGTGCAACCTGAACCGAGGTACACTGATTTTCAATTTTTATCCACAGAGAGTGCCTAGAGGTGGCAATTGCGGTGCCGTTGAGTACATGTTCAAGCGTTTCAATTTTAAACCCACAACTCCTTTTGTTTCTTTTCCTACCGTTTTCGTCTTATGAAAGAGCATTTGAAGCCTTGTTGTCTAACTGATTACTAATACAATTTGGTGATTCTTGCAGGGCACTTAACTACTCTTGCTTGGCGCCTAACTGCTCTTGCTGAGTGGCTAATTTCCCTTGCTGGGCAGATAACTGCTCTTGCTGGGCGGCTAACTGCTCTTGCTGGGTGGCTAACTGCTCTTGCTGGACGGCTAACTGCTCTTGCTGGGCAGCTAACTGCTCTTGCTGGGCGGCTAACTGCTCTTGCCGGGCGGCTAACTGCTCTTGCTGGGCAGCTAACTGCTCTTGCTGGGCGGCTAACTGCTCTTGTTGGGCAGCTAACTGCTCTTGCTGGGCGGCTAACTGCTCTCGCTGGGCGGCTAACTGCTCTTGCTGGGTGGCTAACTGCTCTTGCTGGACGGCTAACTGCTCTTGCTGGGCAGCTAACTGCTCCTTCTGGGTGGCTAACTTCTCTTGCCGGGCGGCTAACTGCTCTTGCTGGGTGGCTAACTGCTCTTGCTGGGCGGCTAACTGCTCTTGCTGGGCGGCTAACTGCTCTTACTGGGCGGCTAACTTCTCTTGCTGGGCAGCTAACTGCTCTTGCTGGGCGGCTAACTACTCTTGCTGGGCAGCTAACTGCTCCTGCTGGGCGGCTAACTGCTCTTTCCGGGCGGCTAACTGCTCTTGCTGGGCGGCTAACTGCTCTTGCTGGGCGGCTAACTGCTCTTGCTGGGCGGCTAACTGCTCTTGCTGGGCGGATAACTGCTCTTGCTGGGCGGCTAACTGCTTTTGCTGGGTGGCTAACTGCTCTTGCTGCGTGGCTAACTGCTCTTGCTGGACAGCTAACTGCTCTTGCTGGGTGGATAACTGCTCTTGCTGGGTGGCTAACTGCTCTTGCTGGGCGGCTAACTGCTCTTGCTGGGCGGCTAACTGCTCTTGCTGGGCGGCTAACTGCTCTTGCTGGGCGGCTAACTGCTCTTGCTGGGCGGCTAACTGCTTTTGCTGGGTGGCTAACTGCTCTTGCTGGGTGGCTAACTGCTCTTGCTGGGCAGCTAACTGTTCTTGTTGGGCGGCTAACTGCTCTTGCTGGGCAGCTAACTGCTCTTGCTGGGTAGCTAACTGCTCTTGCTGGGCGGCTAACTGCTCTTGCTGGGCGGCTAACTTCTCTTGCTGGGCAGCTAACTGCTCTTGCTGGTTGGCTAACTGCTCTTGTTGGGCAGCTAACTGCTCTTGCTGGGCGGCTAACTGCTCTCGCTGGGCGGCTAACTGCTCTTGCTGGGCAGCTAACTGCTCTTGCTGGGCGGCTAACTGCTCTTGCTGGGTGGCTAACTGCACTTGCTGGGCGGCTAACTGCTCTTGCTGGGCGGCTAACTGCTCTTGCAGGGCGGCTAACTGCTCTTGCTGGGTGGCTAACTGCTTTTGCTGGGTGGCAAACTGCTCTTGCTGGGTGGCTAACTGCTCTTGCTGGGAGGCTAACTGCTCTTGCTTGGCGGCTAACTTCTCTTGCTGGGCAGCTAACTGCTCTTGCTGGGCGGCTAACTGCTCTTGCTGGGCAGCTAACTGCTCATGCTGGGCGGCTAACTGCTCTTGCTGGGCGACTAACTGCTCTTGCTGGGCGGCTAACTGCTTTTGCTGGGTGGCTAACTGCTCTTGCTGGGTGGCTAACTGCTCTTGCTGGGCAGCTAACTGTTCTTGTTGGGCGACTAACTGCTCTTGCTGGGCGGCTAACTGCTCTTGCTGGGCGGATAACTGCTCTTGCTGGGCGGCTAAGTGATGTTGCCGAGCGGCTTCTTGTTCTTGACGAGCCGCTACCAGTTCTTTTTGAACTTTTCGTCACGTAGCTTCTTGTTCACAACGAGCAACTTCTAGTTCCCGACGAGCTGCTGCCAGTTCCTGATAGACGTCTTGCTGTCGCTGAAGAGCAATTTCTTGATTGGCCTGCAGCTGGGCTCGAATGGCGGATAATAATATGGCGGACAATAACGCAGCCACGTTCCCATCTAATGCCGGCCCTGATGGTAAGACTGTAGAAAGAATCGGTTTGGAGTCTTCCTGTCTTCCTGTTCCTGTTGTCTTGCAGCGTTCATTTGCGCTTACCTCCTGGTCCGGGAGTACGCTTTTATTTTTTCTGTGGCAGTATCGGTATTCCGCTTCTGACATCATTTGTTGCGTGCAGAGTGAGTAAAATGCCAATAAGGGTGAGGAATGAATGTATTTTTCCACACACACACACAGCATGTTTATAAATACGTCGTGCAAAATCGCTAAGCTTCTTCCGTGAGGTTCTTAGTAATCGCAGATATCGTATGTCTAATTCTTTTAGTCTTTTCCTGAAGTACAGTTCACTTTTGCGTTACTGCAATAACTAACTCTCCGATCCGCGACACAGGCTTTTATACTCGATAAAATGAATATAGAATTTTCTAGGCCAATCCAGGTCGTTCCACTCTTACGACCGGAAAGTACTAGAATACTCGAGATTACATAACGATAACAATATCCGATATAAAGACGATTTCTTATACTTACGCGAACACTACTCATTTAAATTAAACTAGGTTTTGCGGATTTTATCACTTTTATATTCCCGATGTTTCGAGCACTACAGTACTCATAGTCACGGAGGGCTTTGAGGAGTTCGACGTACCAATGTCACAACCACGCCTACCTTCAGATGAAAATTTAGAAACGGTCATTTAAAAGAAAGCTGCTTTGCATTGAAAGTTCCTGTGGATGTTTATATCATTAGCAATGATGTATTTAGATTGCCTGGGACGTTCACCCTTGTGGGAAAAGTGAAGAGTTGTAAAGCCTTGCATAACAAACCGTAGCAGATTTAGAAATCGATTTTAATAACTTAAAATAATAATAATCAAATCATAGATATGTACTCAAATAATATATGCGTTCAAAGTTATACCACCAAAGTTAAAGTTGCAAATAATTTAATTATAATAAAGTTTCTATTTTACTCTCTAACCTGAAAGTAAATAACACAACATATTAAGACTATAAGCCATTGTTAAAAGAAATCCTTAATGAGGCTACTGATCTTGGTTAAAACATAAAGTCACTTAAGGTAACGCTACATATGCATTGCGATCTTGTAAATTTTAAAAGATACCACTAAGAGTTAAAGAACTGCCGTATTCTTAGAATCGCACTCAATAAACCTTGAAACGGATTATATTGAAATTTGGATTTTCAAATATCGGATTATTCAAGTGTAATAACATTTAATAAATTAATTTCACATATTTTATTTCGATTACATACCATTCTTGGTAAAATATTTATTGAAGTGAAATGTAAGTAAAACATACAAAACAATCTAATCTAGTGAGACAGGCTTTCGTCGAAAACAAAAGAACTTCAGAGTACAAAGAAATCTCTTCAGCAGTAGTAGTGGCGTTCTCTACAAAGCTTGTGTGTAAAAGGGACTTGAGGTTGACTCCTATATGGCTTCCTCACGTTGAGACCCGTTGGCAGAAAATTTATTTTTCATTTATATTAAACTCAACTATTACTATGTCTAATAGAAACAATAATCCTGTGTTGTATGTGACTCAAGAACAGGCCCAAGAGACCGATCGAAGCATCGTCAAAAGTTATAAATTAATGAATAAATAAAATAATAATGTTAGCCTTCACTGAATAAGTGTGTGCGGAAGCACAGATGCATGCACAGATCCTCTATTCACCCACTCTTATATAATACTAGCTTGCCAGTCAGACGTTGTTCTGCACTTTTCGGCGACCCTTTGTCATGTCCTATTGAAAATCCTTAAATACGCAAAAAAATTATAGGTCACTCATGGGCAAAAACTGTCCTATCTCTCAAGTTGATCCAAATTGCACACGGTGTGCAAATTTGATTAAAATCGGTTAAGTAGTTTAAGAATCCATCGCAAACAAACAACGTGACACGTAATATATACATATTAAGATTATGTACAACTGACATTTAATAAATTTACAAAGTTGGCAAAATCTATTATGACCTTAGAGTAATTACATACATTATGACAATAATTAATTACAATTTTGTAGTTTAAGATTTTAATTCAATTTAATTTATATTGATATTTCATTTGTAGTATGATTTTTAATTTCTTTGAAATTTGTAAACTTTGTAGTAACTGTGTCAAGTTATTCATGTAGTAATTGTGTAGATAGTAACGTTACTATGATGGGATAAACTTTGTTAATAAATTAATATTTGCACGCTAATTACATCAGCAACAAATTATTATTATTGTTTTACAAACAAAAACCACAGGATGGGAAAATTTTGAACAGGAAACCTGCATTTCTAAAAAACGCATTAGGGCAGTGTAGCGTACATTTCCTTCCCAAAAACTCTCTCAAAAATGATAGGAGGCCTGTGCCCAACAGTGGGACGTATGAAGGCTGTATCATCATTCTCTAAACCATTTCCCATTATCTGGGGTCGGCGCAGTAAATCTTCTTGTTCCATTCCTCTCTATCAGCCGTCATTTCCATACTTACTCCTTTCATTCTCATATCACTCTTCACACAATCGATCCATCTTTTATTCGGCCTTCCTCTGCCCGTGTGTCCCTCCACATTCATATTCAACACTCGTTTTGTGACATGACTTTCATCCCTCCGCATCACATGCCCAAACCATGCCAATCTGCTTCCTCTCACCTTTTCTACCACTGGCGCTACTTTCAGGCTTCCTCTTATATACTCATTCCTTATCTTATCCATCCTTGTCACACCACACATCCATCGTAACATTCTCATTTCATTCGCATGCAGTCTATTTCATCCTTCTTCTTGACGGCCCAGCATTCACTTCCATACATGACGACAGGTCGGATGATCGATTTGTAAATTTTCCCCTTCAGCCTTATTGGCATTCGGGGATCGCACGTTGTGGCTGTGACCTGTCGCCATTTCATCCACCCTGCGTTAATCCTATGCTGCACAGCTCTATCTATTCCGCCGTCGCCTTGAATGAGGGAACCGAGGTACTTGAATTCTGAGCAGGTAGGCAGTATAGCGCCATCCAACGACATGGGTACAGGACTGGAAAGACCGCCGAAATCACAGCACAGATATTCGGTTTTGGATCTGCTGATCTTCAAGCCAACACTTTCCAGCCTCTGTTGCCACCCCGTCAGTCTGCTCTGTACCTCGATGCCTTCTTCCCCGACAAGCACGATGTCATCGGCAAAGAGCATGCACCAGGGTGCCTCATCCTGCAGGTCCGACGTCAAAGCATCCATAATCAGTAGGAAGAGGTAAGGGCTCAATGCCGACCCTTGGTGCAGCCCTACCGCCACATCGATACTGCCCGTAGTTCCCGCGGCAGATCGTACACATGTACGGGATGCTCTGTACATAGCACGGACTAACCTCACATACTTCCCAGCCATACCTTTCATCTTTAACGCCCACCACAAAACCTCACGGGGAACCCGATCGTACGCCTTTTCAAGGTCGACAAAAACCATGTGCAGATTTTTATGCCCGCGCTTGTACTTTTCGCACAATTGGTTTTGTGTTATCTCATTCTTTTCTCTATTATTCTTTTCCAGACTTTCATCGTCTGTGACATGAGTTTTATTCCCCGGTAACTGCTGCAGTTTTGAACGTCTCCTTTGTTTTTAAAAATGGGGACCAGTATACTACTGCACCATTCCTCAGGTATTTGTTCTTCCTGCAACAATTTACCGAAAAATAAACTCAACCACTTCCATCCATCCGCACTCAGCAACTTCCACACTTCTACTGGTATTCCATCTGGGCCGACCGCCTTCCCATTCTTCATATTCCTAACAGCCATTTTTACTTCTTCCACACTAATTTCTCTCACTAAGCCCACTGGTGGGTTTTCAAGCATACCATTCCATTCATTCTCCTCATTCATCAATTTCTCAAAATACTCCTTCCATCGCTTCTTTATACTTTCATCGTCAGTCAAAATCCTTCCAGAATCATCTTTTATACATTTTACATGTGAAACATCTCTTCCATTCCTTTCTCTCGCTTTTGCAATTTGAAAAAAGTCGTTTTTGACCTTCGGGGCTTTCAAGGGACCAATATAATTTATCTTGCGCCTCTGCCCTACAAATAGCAACTTCCTTCTTTGCTCTCTTCTTACATTCTTTATACGCCCCTCTCTTACTTTCTTTTATGGAATCATTCTGGTCTTCTACGCTCTGCCATTCTTTAAAGGCATTTTTCTTTTCTCTCAAAACTTCTCTAATACTTTCACTCCACCACCACCCATCCTTATCTATCATACGCTTCCCTTTTGTTTCTCCTAACACCTTCCTTGCCACACTTCGGATACAATCAGCCATTTCCTTCCAGCACTCATTCACACTCATTCCTTCCATATCACCCATATCTATCATCTTGTTTACAACTAGCTCTCTAAATTCACTTGCATACTCCTCCTTATGCAACAAATGCCACTTTATTTTGGGTGGGGGACGATCCTTATGTTTGTTGAGGCAAACAGTTAAGCAGATGTCAGCCAGCAGAATTCGGTGCTGGGATACTAAGTCTTCACCTGGAAGCACTTTGCAGTTTTTTACACTCTTGATTTGGTTCCGTCTTATCACAAGATAGTCGATCTGTGTCGCGTGGTAGCCACTTTTATAAGTAACAAGATGCTGATCTCGTTTTTGGAACCACGTGTTTACTACAGCCAGGTCGAAAGCACATGCTGCTTGCAGAAGAACTTCCCCCTCACGGTTCCGCACTCCGTAGCCCCATCCACCGTGTACTCTTTCATACCCGTCATTCACTCTCCCTACATGTCCATTAAAATCTTCACCCATATAAACATCCTCACTCTCAGGTATTCCCATCATCATACAATCAAATTCCTCCCAAAACTTCTCTTTCACACTCTCTTCACAGCCTGTTTGCGGGGCATACACACTTACAACATTCACTACTTTGTTTTCAATCATTAATTTAACAACTATCATTCTGTCATTTACTCTTTTCACATCTGTCACTCGTTCTTTCATTCCACTATCTAACACAACTCCTACTCCATTTCGCTTCCCATCACTTCCACAATAATAAAACTTGTATCCTTCCCCAATCTCTCTTGCTTTATTGCCCTTCCATTTTGTTTCCTGCAAACAGGCAACATTCACTCTTCGTCGTTTCAAAACATCTGCTAACTCTCTTCCTCTTCCAGTCATCGTACCTACATTCCAGCTTGCAAACCTCACTCTAACATTCTTCTCTCTCCGGGCTCGCCTCTTACGTCGCACCCGCTCCGTAAGGTGCGACAACCCTTGCCCACTTCCCACAGGAGCCGGGTGCTGCTCCTGCGCGTCGCCTGCGGGGTACGCCCTAGCCCTGTCATATATCCCACAACTCTTTTACTGCATGGGATTTGGCAAAAGTTTTACAGTCGGCCGCCTGCCTGACACCAACCCTCTTTGGGTATGCTATTGTTGGTAGAGGAAGCTACCATTTTGGGAAAAGGAAAAAGAAGGTTGGGGGTAGGAGCGCAGGTGTAAGGATACTGTTATCTCGGCAGGAAAGGTATGAGAATAACAGTAGCTCGGGGAGCCGGGGTCGCGTACCCGTATTCCATAACAGGATCACCGGAAAGGTAGACCAGCATGAAAACCCCCCTGGCTATGTATAAAGGCTGTAACTTTAAACATAAAATCAGGATAGGAAGCAGCGTCTTCCTAATAGCGACAAAAAAACAAAAAACTGCGGTTACCAACCTGCCTGCTAAGAGTAGCAACTAAGGCAAATATGAGGCAATCTATGGAGCAGGTCTATGTACTATGTATTAGTACTATGTACTATGTATTAGTACTATGTACTACTGTACTTAGTACTATGTACTATGTATTAGTACTATGTACTATGTATTAGTACTATGTACTAGTAGTGAACTAATAGGCTGTAACGGTAAACATAAATTACACATAGGCACAGACCCGGAACAGTTAATAAAGGTCATAAATGGAACACGGTGAGAGAAATAAACATGCGACCCGAAGTACGG